GAAAGAAAAAGGGGACAACAGAGAAAAGAGTCGAGATCTTTTGGAAGATAGAATTCGTATAAACGACGAGGATGGGGCAGGCAAAAGTATCTTTGGGCTTTGAGAAGAGTTGACACAATGTGAAGATCCCACCACTGACAGCCCAAAAAGAAGACAAAAACCTTTGTTTCCCCTTCTCTGTTTTATCAATGCACGTACGCAACTCACAATCTGGCATTGGCAGAGAATAAGGTCGTGATGTCCAAAAAGGGATAAAAGGGATATAAAAGTGCGAGTTGACACTTACCTTACCAAAAAAAAAAAAAGTGCGAGTTGACACATTTTCGTCTTACTTCATTCACTTGGATTGCTAGATAAGAACATCACGAGTTACATGCTGATTTGCATTGGCTGAAGTTACAAATTGTCAGCCTTTTTACTTAGAAGCAAAATTTAGTGCCAACTACCAACCAACCAAATTTCAAGCACGAGAGAATTGCACAACAGTTGTAATTTGTCGATCTTTGTCATTATCCTAGTTTAGACTCAGGTAATATTTCATCACAAATATATTATAGTTTTTAGGGCTATTATTTGAAGTTTTAATATGACTTCAAAGAAATTCAATCGATGAGATTTCAGCAGCATCATAAGCATGAGAATCATGAAAAAAGACATTGCATGAAGAACTAGGAAGTTATGCACGATCATATGTGTGGTCAAATTTCTATTGCACAAAATGGAGAATTACTCGATAAAACAAAACTTGTACAATATAAAAATAAACAAAAAATTAAACAAAGCCCTTTGAATTTTCATTGTGTTACAGTCGTAAACGATTCGTCTATTTTTTTGTTTGCTTGTATCTGACATGTGAATTTTCAAATGTAAAATTGTAATTATCGTTCATTTTTTTGTCAAATAACTCTTTTGCCACCAAATCAGTTAGAAATAATAAAATGAGTATAGCAAAATGAAAAGAAAAGGTCGTGATCTTTAAAATAAAATTAGCACAAAATCTAATAATATAATATTATTAGGATTTTTGTCATAATTATTCGGTGGGGAACATGCACCGTACAAAATTTTGATCTGAAAAGGTTGATTACACTATAAAAAAAAAGGGGGGGAAATTAGCAATTCCGATCCTTTCAGTCATAAACTTTCTAATTATAACAATATTATCGTAAACATTTACACAAATTTCAAATGTAGTCCTTTCGGCCAATTTCTTGACACGGATGTTTGTTAAGTGACCATAGAACACGTTTTCCACGAAGACCGTTAGGTTTCAACAAGACATATGCCACGAAACTATGGAAAAAGGAAGGGGCAACAAAGGAAAGAGTCGAAATCTTTTGGAAGATACAATTCATATGCTTTGACAAGGGTGGGGCATGCAAAAGTGTGTTTGGGCTTTGAGAAGTTGACAGTGTGAAGATCCCACCATTGACAGTCCAACAAGAAGCCAAACTTATTTCCCCTTCTCTTTATGTGCTTTTTATCGATGCACGAACGCAACTCGCAGCCTGGGATTGGCAGAGAAGAAAGTCATGCCAAAAAAGAAGCATATGAGATGTGTGGGAAATCAATCTTTTGGGAATTGAGTGCGGATCATATCGTTTCTTCGTAAGTGATTAGCTTTGTCGCAAAAGGAGATCATGATCTCGCAAAAGAAGCAAAATTTTTGGTGCTAACTTTAGCAGCATACCAAATTTCAAGCACGAGAGAATTGCTCGGCGATTAAAATTCCTCGATCGTTGTTATCATACTGATTTAGACTCTGGTCATGTATATCACGGATATATTATGTTATTCAGGGTCATCATCCGACATTGAAGTTTTAACACAACTTCAAACATTCAAGCATTGACGTTTCGGCACTGTCATGAGAATCACGTAAAAGGAGATTGCATGAGGAACTAGGAAGCTATGCACTCATATGCGTGGTCGTGGCCCTCGCCCAAAGCTGGGCGAGGGCCGTGACCCTCACCGCAGCTGGCAAGCCCGAGCCCAGCTGCCCGCAGCCGACGACGGCTCACAGGCCCTCGCCCAGTGGCCAGCAAGAGTCACCAGGCCTCAGCCCTTCATTTATTTTTTCGTTTGCACATACCGGACATGTGATTTTTCAAATGTAAAATTCTCATTCTTCTTGCTTTTTTAAATCAAATCACTCTTTTGCTGCTAAATGCAAGTATAAAATAAGTACTGAAAAATGGAAATGAGATGATCTTTATATATATATATATATATATATAGCACTAACATTAGAAAAATATTAAAAATATGAGTTTTCTTTTTATTTTTATTTTGATCATAATTATTTTTTTTTAATTCATAAGTTACATGCTAATTAAGAAATCACGACAATGGTTTTTCATCTAGGTCGTATAAATTTATTCCTATAATTGAAAGATGGCGTTCAATTTGATTTTCCCCCAAAAATGGTTTTCCAAAAATATGTTGTCAAGCATACTTTCAGGTCGTCTTCTTTTATAGCTATTTCGGCAACATAAACATGTTGTATAGTGTCCTTACCAAAAAAAAAACATGTTGTATAGTGCCGAAAATTACAACTGTGCATAACTGTGCCATGCCAACGGCTACGGTCCTTTGAAACAGCTAACTGATGAAGGACACGTACAAACAAAGTACCAAATTTACACACTTCAATGGTAATTTTATGGTTACATTGTAAAACTTTTTGTTATGAAGTTAACCATCATCACCATCATCATCATAGTGAATTCAACCTCAATAGGGCTGGCATGTCATGTCATCATATTCGTGTCATTTCTTGTCTCTATATTAAAATTTTGACGTGATTATAAAATATTTATCAACGAAAAAAATAGTAAAAAACAAGGCAATACATACCGGTTACTATGTATGCCGTGTGATGCTGAACTCAGGCTCCTATCGATAACTTATTAGTGTTCAAGTTGTGCTATCGATACTAGGAATTGCCACTCCTAATGCCTCAAGCATGGACCCAAGATGTAGGGGTGTCAAAAGAACCCGGCCAAACACGATCCAACCCGACCCAACCCGAAAATTTTTGTATTGAATCGGGTTGGACCTCAATTGGTTTGGATAACAGAAAAAACAATTGGGCTTGGGTACCCGAGCCCAACCAAAACAACTAACAAGGAAACACTCACTACAAAAAAAACCGGGTTTTGCCACGAATTTTGCCACGAAAAATTTCGACAAAATTCGTGGCAAAATGAATTTGCGACGAAATTAGCGACGGAAAAAAATTCATCGCTAATAGGCCGTCGCAAAATTTTGCCACGGAAAATTCCAATTTTCGTGGCTAATTTGCGACGAATTTTTTTTCGTCGCAAAATTCGTCGCTAATTATCCGTGGCAAAATTCGTGGCTAATTTTGCAACGAAAAATAATTCGTCGCAAATTTCGTCGCTAATTATTCGTGGCAAAATTCGTGGCTAATTTGCCACGAATAATATTCGTGGCAAATATCCGTCGCTAATTTGCCACGAATAATATTCGTGGCCAATATCCGTCGCTAATTTACCACGAATATTATTCGTGACAAGAATCCGTCGGTAATTTGCCACGAATATTTTTCGTGGCAAATATCCGTGGCTAATTTGCCACGAATATTATTCGTGACAAGAATCCGTCGGTAATTTGCCACGAGATCTATTCGTGGCAAAAGTCGTCGCTATTATTTTGATTTATTTTTTGGTCGCGAAATTGCGACGAAATATTTTCATGGCAAAAAGTCGTTGCTAATTATCACGTGGCTAATAATTTTTTTTTTTTTCGACGAGTTTATTCGTGGCTAATTTGCCACAAAAAAATTCGTGGCTAAATTCGTGACTAAATTCGCGGTTAATTTGCCACTGGAATTATTCGTGGCAAAATTCGTGGCTAATTTGCCCGCAAATTTTTTTTTTTTATCAGTATTTTGCCACGAAAAATTTTGACTATTGCGGCCGACATTATTCGAAAACAAATTTAGCGACGAATTTTAATGAATACTTTAGCGACGAATGTTGTTTAGGAACGATTTCGATTTGAAATCTAATTAACATTGATAGAAAATCACAGTCAAGACAAGAACAAACCCCAAAAAGAAAGAAATGAAACAATGTTCTAAATTAGCGAGTTCGCAAACTGTTGTGGCAAACTATTGATCTTGCCAAGAAGTTCTTTCACGTTGTGGCAAACTGTTGCGGCAAATTATTGATTTCCAAGAATCGAAGTCCTGTCCATCTGCAGCGCAAACATCACAATATCAAACTCCTAACCCCTATTAATTTTTTCACATCTATTCAACAGCAGAAGCACAAAGCAGAAGCACAAAGATATAAGTACCTCTTGGAAATTTAAACTAGCAAGGATCAGCATCAGCATCATCATCATCATCAGCATCATCATCAGCATCAGGAATCTCATTATCATCATCATTGTGGCCATCACCTACTGGATTAGTAGGAGGTATAGGAGGACCGTCATCAGCTTCGAGGTTGAGGTGTTGCATGATCAATTGCAAACGTTGGTTCACTCCTTTCGTTTCTTCGTCCTTCTGTACAAGTAATTGTTTCATTTCTTCGTCTTTCTGTACAAGTAACTGTTTCATTTCTTCGTCCTTCTGTACCAGTAATTGTTTCAAGCGGTTCAATTCTTGGTCCGTTCGCTCCTCGTGTTGTGCCCTTAAAAAAGCCGCACTGGAGGATGAAGTTGCAGCAGCCGGCGTTCTGTACATCCTTGACAAGGATCCCATTCCAAATATTTGACCTCTTCTCATTCCACCCGATGCCTCCATCCATAATGCCATACTGTCAACCGATGGCTCGGACGCAGCAGCACCATCACCATCACCATCACCATCACCATCACCACTAGCAGCAGCCGTGCTCATTATAAGTTCATCATATTTGTCCTACATTAACAATATTAATAAAAATAAAAAAAAAACTTCATATATATAAATACAAAATATAACCTTACATACCTTAATAACTTTTGCTCGATTGCCGGTCCATGTCTTATTTTTTTTCTGAAAGGTGCGTTCAAATGTAGCCATAAAGGTTGGTTCCGTCCCCAATTCATCTGCCTACAAAATATAAACATAAATGAAATGAGTAATTATTGATTTAACTTTACAACATGTTTAAAAGACTTACCATTCTTTTTCTATGCTCCCTGATATTAATAGAGCCCCCAGCATATGTGGCAGACCCTTCACTAGAACTAGAAGCTCGATTCTTCTTATTAATTTCACTGATTTGCTTATGCTTTTCGGTGTCCCAAATTCTTTTGATTTCCGCCCAATTGTCAGCTGTAATAAAATCCGGCTTTTCTTATCTTCTCTTTGCTCTATTCATCACATTTCGCATGTGATCACCGGCTTTCTTCTTAAAAATTCTTTTAACTTCTTTCTCTTCCGCTTCATCCCACCTGAACTTCCGCTGCAAGCAATCAATAGAAAAATAATTGTACGCTCAGTATGCTAAATCGAACTTAGTTTGTGAGGAAATAAAAGGACAAAACTTACCTTGAACTCATTCCACCACAATTCCTTTACTTCTTTTGGAGCAGTGGTCCAACTACTAAACTGCCCCATCCAATAGTTATCGATTATTTTATTAAGTCTCCTCACAACATGCGTAGAATCCATGAATCTGCAAATGGGTTATAACTTATTTCAACATACGTAGCATCCGTAAAGCATACAGACAATTCAGTTGACATCCATAATAATTCACATATATTTAAAAAAATGAAATACTTACGAATCTCCAAATGGGGCTATCATGAATCGGGTATCTTCTTCATAATTCGAGTGTTGCGTTGAAGAAGAAGGTGGAACCGAAGGCGATGGAACTGAAGTAAATTCAGTTCGCATTTGAGGGTCGGAGGAAGGGCCAATGTGTCCATGTACTAGTTGAGGGTTAGATAAAAGGGCGGGGGGGGGAAGCGGAAAGGGATGGGGATGAGGACGAGGAAGAGGAAAGGCCGATCTTCTTTGTGAAGCATCATCACGACGCATGTGACCTCCACGTTTATACTAAAAGGTGCAAGGTTAGACAAAAATAAAGAAAATTATGAACATATATTAAGGACACATAATGACGTACGTCGTGAAGCTTACCATTTTGTTATTGAGAGCAAGAGAGATGGCCCCTGAAAAAAAAAGAAGCTGTCCGGAAATGTCTACGAGTTAAATTTCTGGTCCTACAACGGTAAAAAAGGAAGAACTCATCTAGCTGGTCAGGGTCATCAAATTTTCAGTTAATTTCTGTAATTCGACTTGTTTTAAAATTTAATTGCATGTTTTGAAAGCCTTAGAACTTAATAAGTTACACTTTCACAACAAATTTTATGATGCAAGTAAATCACTAAGTTCTGTTCAAAATGAATATATCAACTTCAACAAGAAAATCAATAAATTTTTACCTCGAAGGGAGCCACTCCAGAAAACGCAAATGTCACGGAAATAATTTTACCCCAATGGCCAAAGCTTCAACCTAGGCCAAAAAAGGTTTGGAAATAGTTTTCAAACCTAGATAATGATAAAATGACTCCGAAACGAAAAAAAAAAAAAGCGAAAATGTCACGAAAAACACTATTCACCAGAATCATTTTTTGCCAAAAAAACCCATCTAAACGACTCCAAAAAGCCAAAAAATGGCTTGCGTCATAGCCTTAGGCGGTGAATTTCGATCAGCGGGCCGTTTCCACTTGACTGACCAAATTTCAGCTCATTCCGACAACATTTCACCTTATTTCGACCAAATTTCAAACGAATTTCAACTAAATTTCAACCTAAATCCGACCAAATTTCAACCTAAATATGAGAAATTGATTATGTTTCGTTCTGTTTCGTTCTGTTTCGAAACAGATTGGGTCTGTTTCGCCCACGAACAGAATCAAATTCGTGGGCGAAACAGAATGGTTCTGTTTCTGTTTCGCCCACGAATTTGATTCTGTTCGTGGGCGAAACAGACCCAATCTGTTTCGCACAGAAGCCAACACCCAACACAGAAGCGCCCACGAAAGCCAACACAGAAGCGCCCACGAAAGCCAACACAGAAGCAGAAGCCGAAGCACAGAAGCGCCCACGAAACTGGTTTGTTTCGCACACGAATAGAACCAAATTTGTGGGCGAAACAGACCCAATCTGTTTCGTCCACGAGACAGAACGAACCGGACCCAACACGAAGCGAAGCGGAAGCGCGAAGCGAAGCGAAGCGGACCCAACACGAAGCCAGCCAACACGCAGGCGGACGCGGACCCAACACGAAGCCGGTAACCACGAAGCGAAGCCACGAAGCTTAGCGAAGCGGAAGCGCGAAGCGAAGCACGAAGCGAAGCACGAAGCGAAGCATAGAAGCGAAGCACGGAGCGAAGCATAGAAGCGAAGCACGGAGCGAAGCGGACCCAAATGTAGACCCAACACATACATTGAACAGAAGCATAAGCAGACGCAAACGCCTAGAAATAACGGCGAAAAGCAGACCCAACAGAAGCATACCGAACAGAAGCAGACCGAACACTCTCGGACGCCGCCGAAGAACCCAACAGAAGCAGACCGTGCGCTGGGTGTCCTCGCTTCCCAGCGTCCGCCGCCGAAGAACGCCAAGAATCGCGCCGAAGAACGCCGAAGAACTGCAACAGAGACAGAGAAAGAGGGAGAAGACAGAGACAGACAAGAGACAGAGGTAAGGTGAGAAGATAGGTTCGATCGTGAGAACAGAAAAGAAGAACCCTAATTTGTACCCGCTCATGAAGACGACGCCGTTTGTTGAATTTTCGCTGAAATTAACCACGGATTTAAAATCGTGGCTAAAATCGTGGCAAATTTGCCACGGTTTTAGGATTCGTGGCTAAAATCGTGGCAAATTAACCACGAATCTCATTTCGTGGCTAATTTGCCACGGATTTAGCCACGATTTCCAATCCGTGGCTAATTTGCCACGATTTTAGCCACGAATTGTTATTATATCGCGGCAAATTCGAATCGAAATATAAAATTGTCGCGGTAATTTTGGGGTCTTTTTCAAATTCGTGGCAAATTTGCCACGAATTTCCTGAAAAAGCCTTCAAAAGATTTTTCATTCTAAAAAAAATCCGTGGCTAAAATCCGTGGCAAATTTGCCACGGATTTTTGCCACGAATTTCCTGAAAAAGCCTTCAAAAGATTTTTCATTTTAAAAAAAATCCGTGGCTAAAATCCGTGGCAAATTTGCCACGGATTTTAGCCACGAATTTCCTAAAAAAGAATACAATAGAATTTTTTTTTAAAAAAAATCCGTGGCTAAAATCCGTGGCAAATTTGCCACGGATTTTAGCCACGAATTTCCTGAAAAAAGAATACAATAGCTTTTTTGTTTAATAAAAAAATCCGTGGCAAATTTGCCACGAATTTCCTAAAAAACCCTACACACTATTTTTTGTTTTAAAAAAAATCCGTGGCAAATTTGCCATGGATTTTAGCCACGAATTTCCTCAAAAAGCCTGCACACGATTTTTTTTTAAAAAAAATCCGTGGCTAAAATCCGTGGCAAATTTGCCACGGATTTTTGCCACGAATTTCCTAAAAAACCCTACACACTATTTTTTGTTTTAAAAAAAATCCGTGGCAAATTTGCCACGAATTTCCTCAAAAAGCCTGCACACGAATTTCCTAAAAAAAGCCTAAATCATGCGTACGGCCTTTGTTTACGAAATCCGTGGTAAATTGCCATGGATTTTTGCCACGAATTTCGTAAAATTAATTTTTGGCTTTTCATGAAAAATTACTTAGCCTTGTGAGTGGGATTTTTTCATGAAATTCGTGGCTAAATTTCGTGGCAAATTTTCCACAGATTTTAGCCACGAATTTCATTTCTACTATCCCACACTCGCGTAATTCATTTTTTTTTTCCGGACAATGACGTTTCATTAACAATAATAGCAATAATAATATTCAACAACAATTACAATAATAATAATAATAATAATAACTACCACAACAACAACAACAACAATACTAATAATTACGGCAACAACAACAATAATAAATATGACAACAACAATAAACTTTGTCATAATAATAATAATAATAATTACGACATAATTAGTAAAAAGTCTCAAAAATCTAAATCTTCGTCTTCACCTTCGTCTTCATCTTGATCTTAATCTTCTTGTTCAGCATCATCGTCATCATCGTCATCATCGTCGTCGTCATCATCGTCATCATCATCGTCATCATCAACGTCATCGTCGTCGTCGTCGTCATCATCATCATCATCATCATCTGTCTGAAAATCAGCTTCTGCAACACCTTCTAAATTTGATTCGCGAATTTCAGTTAGATCTACATCTATCATTGCTCCACATGGATCTCGTAGAGTAGGAATGTTATATTCCTCAGTTTGAACCGCATTATAAACTTCCTCTTGTTGATATGCTGTATTCTTCTAGTGTTCCTCGATTTTTCTTCGTGCTTTGATTTTACATACAGCCCACCAATCAGCTTTGTCACGTTTCAAACTAGGATATGATGCATAATATACTTGAATTGCTTGTTGTGCCAACACAAATGGTTCATATTTCTTATACCTTTTCTTGTGATTTATTTCAACCAAATTAAACTTCGTATGTACCTTCGTTCCTTTGACGGGGTCGAACCACATGCACTTAAATAACACAACCCGCATTAATGGTCCGGGGTACTCTATCTCGATGATTTCATCCAACAAGCCATAAAAATCATCTTTTGAACTACCACAATTGGATGACCGAACACACACACCACTATTCATTGTGGCTTTTTTCCATTCCATATTCTCGAGCGTGAAAATTGTACCCGTTTATGAAATATGCTGGCCAACTTCGTATGCTTGACTGTGGACCCCATGACAGATAATATAGTAATCCTTGCTCTTCAACTTGATCATGATTACTGTGAACCTAATATTACACACGCAAAGTCAATAATATATATTTAAATGATGTATAAAATATTAATAACTTTGTTTTGGTCTATAGGCAACTTACATATGTTTTGAACCATGCTGCAAATTGTTCATCGCACAAACGGTCGAACTCATTTGGTGGTAGTCCATACATTGAATTTTGAAAAATCCTATTAACAATTTACATTTAAATATTAGTAAATATTTGACACGCAATACATATATTTGCAAAAATATACACTTACTGGAAGTATGGCTCCACTTCTGGACAGTTCAGTAAAATATAGGTATGGGCTGCCTGCCGTTCTTCGCCTGTTAAGCAACGAAACTGACATGCGCCGCTTGGTCGACCGAGATAATTGAAAATAGAGAATGATTTGCAATTGGGATCGATGGGACCCTCATCATTTCTTCCTGTTCTCCGCCTCTTGCACTGCACGTGCGGCTCAAAATAGTATGATGCAAATGTTGTCACTTCTTACACAATATATGCATTACAAATTGAAGCTTCAACACATGCCTTATTCTTCACTTTTTTCTTCAAATGATATAAGAACCTTGTTGCAATAGAAAGAAGTTTATCAGAACATAATATATAATAAAGTATTTTGAATTTTATTTTGAAAAAAATTTTACCTCTCAAATGGATACATCCATCGAAATTGGACGGGACCTGCAACTTTAGCCTCATAAGGCAAGTGAACTAGGAGATGCTCCATTAAATCAAAAAACGCCGGAGGAAATATCCTTTCTAAATTGCAAAGAATAATTGGAATGTCTCTCTCCAGTTTCTCCATATGTGATACTTTTAACACTGTTGAGCAAATATCATGGAGGAAATTACTTAACTCTGTAATGGCGCCCCATACAAAGTTTGGTAGAAGTTCCTTCAAAGCTATTGGAATTAGTCTTTCCATAAATATGTGACAATCATGACTCTTTAATCCTGTCAACTTGCATTCGTTCAAATCAACACATCTCCCGATGTTCGAAGCATAT